GCACCAATTGTGAAAGGGGCTTTACTGATCGTCACCAACTATGGGGTGACTGTGTTGATTAGATCAGTGGGTTGTGTTGACATGAAGTGTAACAGTATTGTGTCCTATCCCACCTTACTGATTGCCACCAATTATGGGGTGACTGTGTTGATCTGATCAGTGGAGGGTTTTGACATGAAGTGTAACAGTATTGTGTCCTGTCCTACCTTACTGATCGCCACCAACTATGTAGTGTTCGTGTTGATCTGATCAGTGTTGGGTGTTGACATGAAGTGTAACAGTATTGTGTCCTATCCCACCTTACTGATTGCCACAAACTATGGGGTGACTGTGTTGATCTGATCAGTGGAGGTTGTTGACATGAAGTGTAACAGTATTGTGTCCTATCCTACCTTACTGGTCGCCACCAACTATGTAGTGTTCGTTTTGATCTGATCAGTGTTGGGTGTTGACATGAAGTGTAACAGTATTGTGTCCTATCCCACCTTTCTGATTGCCACCAAACTAATGGAGTGACTGTGTTGATCTGATCAGTGGAGGGTGTTAACAATGAAGTGTAACAGTATTGTTTCCTATCCCATCTTACTGATCGCCACCAACTATGGATATTTATATATTACACATATTACATGGCCATATTTATATATTACACATATTACATGGCCATATTTATATATTACATATATTACATGGCCATATTTATATATTACACATATCACATGGCTATATTTATATATTACACATATTACATGGCCATATTTATATATTACATGGCCATATTTATATATTACACATATTCACATGGCCATATTTATATATTACACATATTCACATGGCCATATTTATATATTACACATATCATGCCATATTTATATATTACACATATTCACATGGCATATTTATATATTACACATATCACTGAGCCATATTTATATATTACACATATCACATGACCATATTTATATATTACACATTTCACATGGCCATATTTATATATTACATATATTACATGGCCATATTTATATATTACACATATTGCAAGGCCATATTTATATATTACACATATCACATGGCCATATTTATATATTACACATATTACATGGCCATATTTTTATATTAAATATTTTACATGGCCATATTTATATATTACACATATCACATGGCCATATTTATATGTTAAATATTTTACATGGCCATATTTATATATTACACATATTACATGGCCATATTTATATATTACACATATCACATGGCCATATTTATCTATTACACATATTACATGGCCATATTTATATATTACACATATCACATGGCCATATTTATATATTACACATATCACATGGCCATATTTATACATTACACATATTACATGGCCATATTTATATATTACACATATCACATGGCCATATTTATATATTACACATATTACAAGGCCATATTTATATATTACACATATCACTTGGCAATATTTATATATTATACATCTTACATGGCCATATTTATATATTACATATATCACATGGCCATATTTATATTACATGGCCATATTTATATATTACACATTACATGGCCATATTTATATATTACGCATATTACATGGCCATATTTATATATTACACATATTACATGGCTATATTTATATATTAAACATATCACATGGCCATATTTATATATTGCACATATTACATGGCTATATTTATATATTAAACATATCACATGGCCATATTCATATATTGCACGAAAATCGGATAAAAATCTACATTTATATGTTTAGGGGGTGTTATCGATACTAATGAGGCATATTCATTATTGTGGCGATATTTGCTTGATTAAACTGACAATATTCCTCTCCACTCGTATTTACACTGTTTATTTAGGTCCAAACTTAATTACACAATTGTGTTCCAGCATATCACCATAAGTTGACGTGATCTATGTCATGATTCGATCAAATATAGTCATCTGGCAGTCATTTTGATTAACATACTGCCAATATGAACATTATACACTCATACATGATAAGTTTTTTTTTTTGGAATCCAAAACATTTAGTTCAGAGTGTAGAACTAATACATGCCATTGTACTTAAAATGAGCATACATGTATGTGTGCCGACTGTTCATTTGTCATTTAAGTACAACAATTGAGGGACTGTGATATTCTCAATAGCTTGTCATTAATTGATATAACTGCAGATAAATTGGTTTGCATTGGTGGGTGATTCTTGTCTTCTTAGTGTTTCTCTATATTATTGTGATGTATACAGCTATCCTTCACACCTGTCCACCCCAAATTGCACAACATCTCGGTGATTCATTAGCCATTGCGGATTGAATGATTCTGCTTTCTGAATGTGTTGACGACTATCGTACGATCAAAGTGACAGAGATGGAAGTGCTGGTGACATACGTGTTGCTGCACTGTCTGCTCTGTCAATGTTCGGTCTCATAAGCGTGACCAAAGAGAACGAGTGTTGATATGAATGGGTGCAGGCTGAACCAATCAGTCTAACCATGAATCATTCAACAAAATGTGTGTGTGCTTTGAAACTGACACAGTCTAATACTGCGACGAAATACACAATCTAGTATGTTACTTTAATGGATATTATTTCCACTTCCTGTTCTTACCAACTCCACCACAGTGAGGAATACTTAACTATCTAACAGATGAACACAATAAAGAAGTTATTTTGAAATGTTGAAGGCTCCATGATTAGCTTTTTAAAAAGATTTGAATTTAACTTTCTTTTAGTAATGTTCACAAGATAAGGGCATACATGTGAAATAACATACGTGGTCAACAAATGAACAACTGATTTACCTGATAGGTACTGTTGTTGCCTTTTCTATCTACCCAAATCAACTTTAAACAAAAGGAAGGCCCATGTAATAGATAAGATTAGAGTTCTTATCTTGTCCGTGATGGGTA